TGGACTGCGACGACTTGAGGATGAGGAAGTTCCAATATTCGGTGGATGGGGGAAATTTCTATCCCACCCTGCGGACTTCGGATCCCAAGCCTACCCCGAGAAGTCTCTTTTCCCTCCCCTCGTCTACGGAATGATGACGGCGTGTGATCTGAAATCTATCTTCAATTTTTCCAGGTCAACGATGGGACAGCGACGTACATTCAGCCAAAGGACTCCCGAAGCGCGAGTCATCGTACTCCTCAACCGGCAATTGAGCGCATACCGGGGAGGGCAAGTGTTGACCAACGGGAAACTAGAACACTTCCGTGGAGCCATCGCAATGCCAGAGTTCCTCCAGGTTGTGAGCTACGTGGGCTCCGAGGTTCAGTGCCGCCTCTTCTCGACGCTACGGGAAGTTGAGGAATTGGAAAGCGCAGTTTCGGGAAGTGATTTCACCGAGCTTGTGGTGCAGTTCTGCATCATTGTGCAAGCAAACCACTTCCTCCGCCCGTTTTCATGCGTGGAAGAGTCGGCGGACGATCACGCTTGGATTTTTCGACATTGCCGGAACTTCGAAGAAATCGCGTACCTTCGCTCCCGGCTAAACTTCCCGCTGTCGGCGAACAGACTGCACCGAGCCATGAGCATCGGTATCGAGAAGAGGATCCTCGCGTGCATCGGTGCCCACGAGCCCACATGGCAGAGCTGGTTGTTGGTGCTCAAGGAAGGAGGTCTGGACTGCGTTCAGCGAACGTACCACGTGACGGAGTTCATCCTCCGAAGGAAATCAACTGAGATCCCGCAACTCGCCGCGACGTTACTTCTGAGCTACGTCGCGAGTGCCATCGCGAGCCCCTCTTCTGTCGGATTCCGTCCCCAGACAGTAGAGAAGATTCTTTCGAAGCTTCTCGAACTGGGGGCTTCTCTGAAGGTCTCGTCAGATGGCGAGAACGCCCTTTTCCAGAAACTCGATCGGTCTGGGATCTTGGTGACGGAGAGGGCTGCCTGGTGGAGGGAGGGAAGCTCCGGCTCGAGCCTAGGAATCGCGGGACCCTTCCCGACAGCACTGTCGAAGATCGTCTCGGTTCCTCTCCGCGGGGAGTTTCTCAGGAGCTTGGGACGCTACACGTGCTGCAGTCTCGACGCCCAGCACATCTCAAGGAGGATCTTCGGCACCAAGCTCAGTAGCTTGGAGTGTCTCGCTGCGCAGAAGCTTCCAAGGTCCCAAATTGACCTCCTCCCGCCTTACTTCAGAATCTTCGCACTGAAGCACCACTCGCCTCCAAGTGGTCCGGAAGAAGCTCGGGAAGCCTAGGATTGAAATAAATTAGATTTCTGGAACCTGCTTGTTTTTTTCTTTCTCTCCCAACTCGATCTCCGAAATTCTCTGTTTCGAAAACGGTTGATTGCTGTAGGTCGAGCTCGGTCGCTTTCGGGAGCTGAGAGCGCGCTCTAGCACATAAACCCTCACGGTTCCACCGTCATAAGTTTCCTCTGAATCCGAGCCTTGGAGATCGGTCCGCTGATAATGAATTCGCATTTGATACTATTGCTCGTGTGAAACCCCATACAGAGCTTCTAGAGGCGATTCCTAAAGAGAGAAAGGAACAGCGAAGTTGTTGCCTATTGTCTTCATTCCGTATCGAAGTTGAGCTCCTCGTCTCCACGGCGTCGAGCTGGCCAGAGCAATTGATCACGTCGAGGATAGTTTTGAACCTTCGGGTCAGCTCCTCGTCGACAGCAGAGATCCTAGCAATTCGCGAGAAGTTCTCGAGGAAGCGTCGGGAGCTGTTCCCGTCCTCTGCGATTCCGCGGTCTGGCTTCACGAAATCGACTTCCAAACCGGTATCTTCTCGGAACGCGTTGTATGTCCTACCCTATCCATCTCAGCTCTCTCCCTCGCTTCATCATCGGCATCCCAAGTTTGCCGCTTCGCGAACTTTCTGTTTTACGCGATTTCCAGCATCGCTCCCATTAGTTTTATCTTCGCATAAGGGGGTGACATAGTCATATGGAGCGCGTATTGCACTCGATTGAAGATCTTCTTCGATCCTGCTTGGGCTGGGCTCCACAAATAGGGCAGCTCCGCATGGATCGGGTCTCGTTCAGCGTCAGTGGCGTGCTCCCTCATGGGGCCGCCCGGGGCGGTCAACGAAAATTTTCATTTTTCGGACACCATCAACCACTATGCAACCCCCTGTCCGAATGTTTTTCGCGAGAAATTACGAAAATTTTCACGGAAATACCCGTTTCTTTGGATGTCGATCTCGGAAATGCCGCCCCCCGAAAAAGCCGTCCGGGGTCGATCAACCCCCCCCCGGAGCACGCTACTTTTCAGCGTTGAGAGAATTTCCCATCAATCATGCGGAAAGGATCATGTCGTAGCGAACTCCAGGAGATTTGCCTTCGACAGCGATTTCTAGGACCGTCTTTCCTACCTGCGGAGTTTCTCCCTTTCCCGGTCGATTTCCATATGTTTCACGAATGAGCTCTCCTCGACGAGCTCGGACCTCATTGGCATGCACAATCGTGAGGAAGAACTTCTGGGATTTTTCCAATGATCTTCCTCTCGCAAGGAGCTTCTGCCACACAGGAGTCTGAGCGGCACCAGACAAGAGATGAATATACCCCCGTCATAATTGGCCGGATCTCCGACGATCTGTCCATTTTGCCCATGGCTGCATGATCCTCCGCACCCCAATTTCCATATTTTCCATATCCCACAGATAGCACTGATGAGAAACCGATCTTACGCACCGAGTTCCGTCAAACTGCTCATCTTCTAGACAAAGCAGCTCTGTTCCCGTGGACTTCTGTCAATCTTGAATGGATGAGATGAATTTCCCGACGAACTGAACGCACGCGAGAAGTCGTATCTCCACCGCATTCCCAGGGATCAGAGCAGGATACATCTGCGAGAGCACTCCCTTACAGACATATCGAGACCCTACGCATCAACAATGAGCCGATGAAGACCCGATGCAGGGTCCTTGTATCACCAGATCTCCATCCCTTTCAGATCGGGATCGGAGCTTCTCTGTGGCCTCTGACGAACAGGATTTCTCGGCTCCTACGTTGAGTGTATGGTGACCCTCTAGGTTTTCTCGAAAAGCCTTTATTTTGACAATCACAGCTACCTCGTACTAAGATCGATCATCCCTTCAAGCCAGATTCAAGGTCAGGGTCAGGGGTCTGCGGTATTGAGTTTGGGACAGGAAATATCCAGGAGAAGCAGCGGATACGAAAAAGTCAATTTATTCCAGTCCTAGGCTTCCCGAGCTTCTTCCGGACGACTGAGAAGTGAGTGGTGCTCCAGCGCGAAGATTCTGAAGTAAGGCGGTATAAAGCGACCAAGCTGGACCTATAGCAATCAATCGTTTTCGAGACAGAGAATTTCGGAGATGGAGTTGGGAGAGAAATATAAGAACGAGCAGGTTCGAGAAATCTAATTTGTTTCAATCCTAGGCTTCCCGAGCTTCTTTCGGACTACTTGGAGGCGAGTGGTGCTTCAGCGCGAAGATCCTGAAGTAAGGCGGGAGGAGGTCAATTTGGGACCTTGGAAGCTTCTGCGCAGCGAGACACTCCAAGCTACTGAGCTTGGTGCCGATGATCCTCCTTGGAATGTGCTGGGCGTCAAGACTGCAGCACGTGTAGCGTCCCAAGCCCCTGAGAAACTCCCCGCGGAGAGGAACCGAGACAATCAATCAAAGTCTTTATTCACTCGTATTGAGTAGTTTCTACCTGTCTAAGTAAGTGATTTCATTTTCTCTGTTCATTTGGTCTCTCGGTTTGGAGATCATTCAGTGATTTCACATCGGGGCATTCTCGAGCGTGGGATTCGGGACAGAGTTTGGAACATCTTCTACAGATACAACTGTCGGATGGTTCGTGGAATCCTTTAGTTTTACAGAGTAAATGATGAAAGCCGTGTACAGCGAATCTAGTTACAATGTGTCGGTTCGTCCTTCCCGGTTTTGACGTAGAACTACGTCATTATGGACGCCGTCCAAAAAAATGTGACGGATCTGGTTACGGATGCACGAATGGTTTCGGATTGAGGGTTTCGAAATCGCGGGAGGCTTTCCAGGCGACATCTGGCAAGGGAAAACTGTCAGAGAGGCTATTGAATTCCCCGCGACTACGTGTCCAGGAAACGACCTCTGGAACCTTCAAATCACCTCAGTTATTAAGAACCAGCCGTCGGCAGAGCATGCAGGCGCCGCAATTACCTAAATATTTGATGACATGGTCGTCCATGTCGCGAGCCTTGAGTCCTCTCGGACGTTCTGGCAGTTTCAATGATATCATCGAGAGGAGCATCGCTGAAGGAGTCTACGGTTCTTGAGGCTCTCTGTAGGAGACCTTGACTTGAATGGCGGGAGGAGGAGTGGCGATCAGGGGCACTTTGACGGGAACTGCGGTTATGGCGGCGATCATGGGGTGTTTTCGGAGAACGATGCGGAAATGCGATGACTTGTTGAAGGAGAATTTGTCACTCCAAAGATGCAACATCAGTCTTTTTGTCGAGAACGCTTCTTTCTCGTTGTCCTTGTGGGCACGGTAACGCAGTTTCGGCGGAGCCGGGCAAAAACGACGATCCTTCAGGATAGATCCGGGCCTTGATGTAGGTTGCGAATAAATCCCCGAACAATCCGCGAGTGGAAGTGATGGCGATTGCATATCTTGGAATGTAATATTCGGATAATGAGAAAAAATCACAGTATCGGTGTGGGTTTTCCCTTAAGATTCCCGTCAATCGGCCAACCTTTCGCTGGAGTCCTTGAACTTGTCGAAATCTTCGTGATGTTCCCACAGTTATTCTCAGGAATGAAATGGTCGTGCGCAGAACTCAACGGTACCAAGTTCGCCGCTGTGTGCAGAGGTTGATAGATACACCGAACCGTTGGAACTACGCAGAAAGCTTTGAACGAAGCCAAGTTACTCTTTCTCTCCGAGCACAGGTTTCCAACGAATCGAAATAGTCAACGGTCGAAGTGCTCGCAATGGCCAATGATCGTGCGTCACAATAGAAGATTCGGGTAGACTACATTCTTGATGGGATGACTGTTATCTTTAGTCTTGATTTTAATGTCATCTGGAGAAGCCACTCGGCTTAAAGCGACGTATAGTTGTCCATGATTGAAGAGATTGGTGGGCAAATATATGCCGATTTTGCTGAAAGTTTGGCCCTGGCTCTTGTTGATGGTCATGGCGAAAGCCAAACGCACCGGGAATTGTCTCCTTTTCAATCGAAAGGGTAATTTGGAATCGCTGTAATTGTCGATGCGCGGAATGATGACAAATTCGCCGTTTCTGGCCCCCGTGATAAATCTGCAACCCAGTACGAAACGACCGATGCTCTCAACTTTGAGTCGAGTTCCGTTGCAAAGTCCAGCAGTGACGTACAAGTTACGCAAGAGCATTACAATGGCACCTTTCTTCAAATGCAGGTGGTGTGGAGGCATTCCAGGGGGGTTGAGACTGTTTAGGTACTCGATCGGATACAATGCTTGGTCCTCCTGATCATCGTCAGCGATTTCATCGATGCTTCGCAAATGGCTTTCGTAGCGTGGATCAGAAACCTGAAGTTTTTCTAATACTTTTTCGTTGATGCTGTCGACGTCGGTGTTCTTTGGCGATAAGATTGCCTTGGATGCGAGATCGAGTACGTTCGAAGCGGTGATCGAATCTCCATAAATTTCCTGAACTAAATCTCCTTGACAGAAGAAATGTGGAGGAATCGCTGTGCGTCCGTGGGCGTCGTTCAGAGTCGCATCTCCAACTTGCAATAAGAAGTTTTGCCAAGATTCACCGCCGCGTCTGCCACGTATGTTTTCTTTCAAAGAACAGAGCTCGAACTCGGACCACAAAACAGAACGAGTCACACATGCATCAAGTACGTCGAGAATGGTACCGCGTTCAACAATTGGTAAAGTTTGACGGAAATCTCCACCGATCACGACCGTGAGTCCACCTAAGGGTGAATCGTGTTGACGAATGTCTCTCAAAAGTGAATCTACTGTCTCAAACGCCGCTCTTGGGACCATTGAAATTTCATCCCAAATTAATAAATCCAGGTCGTAGAAAATCCTCGCACCCTTTTGCTGGCGCTTCAAAGACGAAGACCGATTTCGGTCCTGAACGTTCAGCTTGAAAAGAGAATTAACCGTTCGACCGCTAGGCATTAGATTCGCTGCAATGCCAGTCCATGCCGTGCACTGAACCCTTGCTCCTTCGCCGGTTATCATGTTATACAGAGTCTTGTACAGGAATGTTTTCCCTGAACCTCCTGGACCGTCGACGAAGAGGCAAATAGCACGCCTATTTCGGATAGCAGCCAGTATTTTGTCTGCGGCGAATTTCTGCTCCTTGTTGAGCTTCGAATACATGATAGACCCTTGAATCGCATTGAATTCCAGATTCAAAGATGTTGGTAGATCAGTGGGGATCTCCGCAAGCGGAGCTTTGATCAGAGTTTCCAAATTGCTCGCCCGCGCATTCGAATTTGGCGGCGATTTCGTTGTACGCCAGAGCGAGAGCAGTATCGAGAGGGATTCCGCGTCTCGTATAATCTTCAGCCATCGACGATGAAAAATCATCCCAAAGTGATTGAGCATCAAGAACCTCGGAAAAATCAAGCAGGCAAACGAAAAAAGTCCGCAGGGCTGCTGGACTCTGGAATGACGCGGCTTCCTGCAAGCTGTTCCTGAATGAGCTATCATCTGACATGAGGCCTGCCGATTTGGCCGCTTCTAAGAATGAATCGTGTTGTATCCCATTTATCGTCCTCAAATTCTCAAAAGACGTTGGCCCTCGCGTATTCAGGAGTAGTATGCGCAGAGCGTATCGCTCACGATCTCTCGGCGACACAGTGTACATGCGGCCAATGATGCCTTTGCTAGCGCGCTGCCGCGGTTTCCATCCTATATCGGGCTTGAAAACGTAGAATTCTGGTACCTCATAATAATAGAGGAGATCACGTTCGTCGGTGGGTCCCCCTGAAGAATCAGAATTGTCGGTTGCTTTTTCGTTCAAGCTGAAGAAAGCTGTCAAAGTTGTGTATCTGTGGGCAGCTCGATTCAATGCTGGGCCTTCTGTTCCTTCTACGAAAGTGACAGTCTGTTGGTCAGGGAGATGCACGGCAAGTCTGACTATAGTATGCGACTTTTCTTGAAGTTCGTATCCCCCGATTCGGTGCATCGCTTCGGGTGCACACACGTAACGGGCATTCACATTGTTGGATATCTCATCGATGCCTTCCCCAGATTGAATGTCGATCATGGCCCGATCTGTACCTTCATACACGTATTTGTACAAATACTTGACCGAGGAAATCATACCACAGATTTCCACATTTATATGACAATAATATTTGAGCAAGAAATACGGGTTATACGGAACCACCCACTCGTCTGAATAGGACACATCTCCGACCTCTGCTCGGAAGAAGTTCCTTCGACGAAGGTGAGGATAGCCATCGTGTAGAAGTGAGATCTCATTTCTCAGTTCCTTGGGGAACTTCTTGGAACATTTGCCATCTTTCATGCATGGTGCTGCAGGGTTGAATACTCCGCAATTCTTATGGAGCATGAACCTCTTGACGGCTTCATGTGGAGTGGGCTCAGTGTCGGGGTCGGGGATCTCACCCGAACATATCAGATCTACGGCCTCGGAATCGCGGAGTTTGTGCTCTTCCTTCAGAATGAGCAGAGTGTGGCAGTGCGGTAGTCCCCTCTTTTGAAATTCAATAACTTTCACGTAAGCGATCACTTTACCGAAGACCTGACCCTTGAGAATATCATCGAAGATCGAATCTAGCTTAAGCTTAAAAACTTTCGCTATCAAATCGGGGCGATCACTGGGCACTTGAGCTGGCAGCAAGTTTTCCTGAATCTCCCTCCATTGTGGGTTGCATGTGATGGTCATGAAAATGTCTGGCTTACCGTAGCGAGCGACGATTGCCATGGCATCCTGACAATTTTGTTGCATGCTCCGCGGAGATCCGATAAAGGTTGAAGGCAATATGAGTCGACGACCGGATGGACCAGCAATATCGTCAACGCCCGACAAATGATCCCGCAAACCTTGATAACTGTCGGCTTTCAGCTTGTCTTGATTTTGACGATGGAAATTCAGTCTGTTCTGCTCGATCTTCACAAAGGAATCAACGGCAAACTGTTGGAAGAGTTTGCCGGCGTGAAGTATCGGATTGAAAGAGTCTCTGATCGAGAATAAATGAGCATAATATTGTTTCTGCGTAATCCGCTTCCCTCGCGTGTCAAGTAAATCTGGATGCCAACCTTCGGCGCCGTCCGGGAACAGTAATGGATACGTCAAGGGATCCCCGCGTTTATCAAGGTCAGGAATGGTTGTTAAAGTACCCCCTCTTTCATGGACAGCTAATGCTCGCTTTTCTGGTACATCTCCGTCATCTCCAACGTAAATAATGGCAACCTCATTCACCGTCGGTACGTCATAAAGTCGGCCTGAGAGCCCATGTGGTTGAAAGTCATGGAAAACCATTCGGAGTGTCATTTTCGGTCGATTTTGACGCTGGGCGGTGGCTCGCTCCGCGTCTTCAACTTCTGACATCATCTTGAAAGATCTCGCATAAGGGTTTATTGAGGACAGGAGTTGACCTAAATTCTTGAGGAGCTCGGGATCGCAATGCTCATTCTAAGGCAAGCGAAGCCGTTGTGCCGCTGCTTGCTCAGTATCTAGAATGTACAGCTGGCCGTATCGTCTCGGCTGGCCTTCATCGGGGTGTAAGGAGCCTATACTATGATATATCTGCCCATGTATGCGGAAGCAATAAGGTCCCGGTCCACGCGGCAATTCGATTCTCGCACCCATTGACGCCATGGCTAGGGACGAATTGTAATTTCGGATGAGATCGTGAAAATTTCTCTGGAGCCGGGAAAAGTCTGAAGGAATTTCAGGAGTCCGCTGGAAAAGTTGTCGTAAGAGAGGGGGGAAATTTTGGAATTTGCTCAAGTTGAAACGACCGATATTGCAACAATCCCAGAAGAGTGATGGGTGGTCCTTCTTTCGTTCAGACTCGAAATGCTTCGCCGCACAATTGGAACATATTAATATCATCGGCCCAAGTTCTCTGGAAGTCTGTCACGCAGGGCGGCCTGAAGTGAAGATACCGTAACCCTGGTTGCCCGATGAGCTGCATGCTGCAAGGAATCAGTTCGAAGACGAATAATTCGCTGATCCGCAGTCTCTGCTCTGCGACGTTTGGCGGTTGCTCGCGACCGACGACGTTTCCGAGCGGTTTCGGGATCGAAATCACTGTCAGTATTCTCTGATGACTCGTCGTCAGACGATCTCGAATCTAGCGCGGCTAATGAAGTTTGAGGTCGAAAGGCTGCCCTCGTACGCGCGGCAATCGGGAGCATGACGATTGCGCAGAGGGACACAGCTAACGATAAGCTATGAGGTATCCGAAATGTAAAATGTCGGTGATTGTGGGTGGAATCTAAGCGTAAAGGTTGGTGATGACGCACCGATTCACTTGTGACGACAAACAGACACAGAGATCATGGAAGAAGCCCAATCAATTGCGTAATTATCACTCAGTTCCAGAGCGGCTCGACTCTGAGCGCGGCTCAATTCAAGTACGCAGAAATGACGTCATTGTGGAGACGATCTCGAAGCCGCGGCACGCGGTGCGACACGCGGTAAAGTAGAGCGTCTCGCAAAGTTCATCGGTGGAAACTCCGGCAATGGTTGTGACGGAAACTTGTGGAACAATTGAAGTGCATGCTGTTGATGATCATAAAGAAGAAACATCATTTTCGGTGATAATTTTTGGCTACAGACAATAGCCGATTATATAGGGGGGGGGGATCATGGATCATGGAACATTGGAACCAAACGCGGTGCGTGATGATGGATTGTGGTACTCAAGGGTGCCGGAGCGAACGATCGCGCATTGCGCCACCGAGTGAGCTGACGATCGTGGTACTCAAGGGTGCCGGAGCGAACGATCGCGCATTGCGCCACCGAGTGAGCTGACGATCGTGGTACGAAAGCGGCGGAATATCAGGTATTGTATTGGGGTATCAGCACATCGTCTCCCACGCAACTCCGGAGGCGAGTCGAATTATCAGCGCGCCCGACACATCTACATTTGCATACGCGCCGCCGCGTGGTCACCTCACGACCGAACTGAATCATTTAGATAATGGAAACCATATAGACAGGATTCGGCTCCAGAACCGTCTCGGATGCTCAAAGCCGGAAAACTGAATCTCAGCCACGGCGAATCCGGACGCAGAATATGATCCGATACAGCCAACGGCTTGCAATATTCGACTTTCCCTTTTCACCGTCGGCCTATGCTTTCATCCTTTATTCCCTCATCAGTGAGGACCGAGGAACTTTGGAGGTTTTGAGCAAGGAGCTATATTCCTCATTCGCTGAATGAGCGCTCGGGACTCTCATCTAAACTTGAAACCTACTGCGATAAAATTCATACATCAAATTACGGCTCCGCTCGACTACTCGATCGTTTGGATCGGGACTTCATAAAAATAGAAACATATCGTTGAGGACCCGGGATTCTCATGCGGGACCGAATTTCATTGGCTTCATGAGAGTGCGTCCGAACTTCATCCTCCGTGTCTAGACTTGAGATAACAGGAGCATATCGTTGAGGATACAAGATTTTCACCTGGAATCGAACCTCATCGGCTCCGGAAGAGTGCGGCCAGACTTTATCTCCTGGATCGGGACTTTGTCGGTTGAAACTTATCTATGACGACCCCAAATCAGAATCCAGGATCGGAATTCATCGCGAAACTATATCTTTAAGCCACACTTCAGCCATCTAAATCTCGATTTCATTATCATAGACTGAAACAATAAATCTTCCCTCGATTTGTTTCATTGACTTCATCGCGATCTCGCGATAAGTCCTCTCGAGCACGTTGACGTAGTTCTACGCAACC